ATTGGTGTAACCATTTGCTACTTGTCCAGCAGAGAAACAGCCTGGCATGGTAATGGTGCTGGAAATCTACCATGCCTATGTTACTGACTGGCCAGTGGGCCAACAAATGCTAGGCAGTCAGGGTGTCAACTGCCACAGCCTTTGTATAAATAGGGGGTGCCATGAAAATTTGTAGGAGCAGAGAGTCCTTTTTCGGATTTGAGTTTCCTTGTATTTATATGAGTAATCAATATAAGGTATGGAAGTGTCTTCCCCGTAAATTCATGTGTTGTGCCTGTGTGAGTATGTGTCCCATATTCGTGTTTGTATGGCTAGTTGCTGAAGCAACGCCTTCACGGGTAGCCTCTGTTTCCAGAAAAGTTGAAAAACTAGTGTTACCCCGTGACAGTTTGGTATTAGAGCGTTGAAAGATAAATCTATGGTGGGCGGAGTGATTGCTGATTGAGGGAAAGGGTGTGGCTTGTTTGGAGGACTTGGTTGGTCCCCCACAATCGGGTGATGCTGTAGCCATTTCTGTGCAGCTCGAGTTGTTGTACCAGCAGTCAGTCTTATGTGCTGTTCCAATTCACCTGCTGGCTTGCTTGAACCTGCCTAAAGGTATCTTGGGGAAGCTTAACTCCTTGATTGCTGGTTTCATTTGGTCCAACAAGCTGGATGTCAGGAGGAGACACTGGGTCTCACTTGGGAATCTGTCTAAGCCTAAGGTGGAGGGTGGCCTAGGTATCAGACGATTTGGGGATATGCAGGCTTCTTTCCGGATCAAGCAAGTGTGGGGTATTTTAAATGGGAAAGGTATTCAAGAGTAAGTTTTTGAGAGGAAAACATGTGCTGACGTGCACTATTACTAAAGGGACAAAATGCTATAGGGAGTTGCAGCCTTGGTTTGAGTTTGTGAGTGCTCATTCTTGTATGATTATTGGAAATGGTGAACAGACAGACTATTGGTGTGACAATTGGTTAAAGGCGGGCCCTTTGCTGTCTAGGATTGATAGTATGCCTGTCTCTTTTCCCAAAGTCTCTGAGGTTCTCTTTGGGGATCAATGACAGCTGGATGAGGTGTCTGGGATATTGGGTTCTCAGTTGAAGGAAGAGATTTTGCTGTCTGGAGTCTCTGTAACTGATAAAGCAGATAGAAGGGTTGGGATGAGCAATGCTTCTGGGGATTTTTTGATTAAGTCTGCATGGGAGCTAGTAAGGAGACATGATCTGCAGAATGAAGTAGCTAAGGCTATGTGGGGACAAAAAGTATCCCCTAGTGCTCAGCTGTTTGCTTGGAAAATCTTTAAGAATGCCTTGTCTGTAGATGATAGAGTTCAGAGTATTGGGGTTCCATTGGTAAGCAGGTGCTGTCTTTTGCTGCAAGGATTCGGAGAGCTTTTCTCACCTATTTGTTAACTGTGATTTTTCTCTATCTGTTTGGCAAAGGGTAGTTATGTTACTGGATGAGAGAGGATTAAAAATGAGCGAATTAAAAATGAGCAAATGTTTGGGTAATGTTGTTGATCCAAAAACGCTAAATTGAAGGAGGGAAGAGCCCTGGGGTTAGTCACTGGTCACTAGTTATATTATATCATCACACCTCATTTTTGCTGAATGATCAATTGTGTTTCTATTTTTTGTTGACAGGAAGCACTTTCCTATGGAGCTGATGTCCTGAGACTATGGGTTTCGAGTGTTGATTATACAAGTGATGTCATGGCTGGGCCTCAAGTCCTCCGTCAAATGTCAGGCATATATAGGATGGTGTAAGGAACATTGCGATTTCTTTTGGCAAATCTTCATGATTAGAAAGTATTTCAAGGTTTCTGTCAATCATAGACACTGAGTTGACACCATGCCCATCACTTAGATTTTCCTTACATATACCAGAAGTCATTTTAATTGTTGTTTCTTGTTATCAATATCATTCCTGGAAATATATAAGAAAAACTCTCTCTCAGAGTACAAACACACACAAGATTGTATTCAATTTTAGTTCATTGTTTCATCCTCTTGTCTGGTGCTTCATTTGCAGATTAAAACTGGGCAATGTTTCTAATTGGTCTATATGGACAATGATCCTTTGTGTAGTTTGTTATCTCCTCCTTTAGTTTCTGTCATTTTATGATTTATTTTTGCAGGCTGATTATGCTGTTTCTTATGATGATCTTCCCACTATTGATCAGAACATGCACTTTTCCATATTGAAAATGTTATAGAGAATATCCGACAGAACTATGAATATTTTCAATTTTTCAAAATATTGTAAGTACAGATGTAATTTTTTCAATGCCAATGTTCTGGATGTGAAGCTGCCAATAACTCACAGAACTATGTGTTTGTAGTATGAATCTTTTGCTCCATTAATTCCCCTTATCTGGGGTAAACATAAGCTCCTTGTTTGGAATTTATAAGAAATTAATGAAAAAATCGAAACCATTTCAACTACCATTAACTAGTCAAAGGATGAGATCTATTCTTAACGTATTGTTTATCAGAATTCAGGTTATCAAAACTCTAGTTTTCTTTTCTCCTGTCTAAAGTTTTTACCAAAACAAGAGATGCATTTGCAGTATCTCTTCAATTTAAATATGATATTTTATATTTCAAAGATTCGGATTTTGATATATGTATATCTAATATAAAAATATTTATAAATATTAAAGAAATTAAGTGATTATTTGAAGAAATTTAATAAAATTTAAAATATAATTTGTTAAATTAAGTTATTTGAATCGGATCGAATTTTTAGATTTTTAATGGATTCAAATATTGACGATAAAAATAAAATCTATCGAATTATCAGACCGGGTTCAAGTCGGATTTAAACCCAATTCATTCACAGGGCTAATTCTATCAGAGTAGCCTTTCTTTTAGCAGAATGGGCCGGTCCACTGGCGGTCATGGACCGTTGATGGCCCGTTCCACACAGGAATTTAGGGTACTTTTCTTCGAGAGCGGCTAATCTCGTCTCTTCTCTCTCTCAAAAGCTAGGGCTTCAATTTGGGGGGGGGGGGGGGGGGGGCTAGGGCTATATATACGCACACACAAACAGAGAACGAAGGTCTCTCACAATCTAAACATGTACCAACGTCGAGCAGCACAATACTAACGCCTGCGATTGTTACTCTGCTTTATGTAGCAATGAATTTTTGTGCTTTATTTTGTTTAAATGGATATCATATTGTTTATGATCCAGTAGAATTTGAGCTTCAAATTGTATGATTTTGAATTTGGGAAGTGATGCTAAGATCTGAACACCTTCATAGGCTCAGCATTCTGTGCCCTGCTGAATATATTTTTGCACGTCAGTCTGATCCCAAACTCAGATTTTTTGGTGTTTATCTTTTTTGCTCTTTTGCATTGTTAGCAAAGGATGATTGAATTCCATTTCACATTGTTGATAGTATTTTATACTTTGAACTTGAAATTGTATGTTTTCGAGTTTGGGAAGTGATGAGAAGAGCGGAACAACTTCATGGGCTCAGTGTTCTGTGCCCCTGCTGAATATGTTTTGCACGTCAGTCTGATCCCAAACTCATATTTTGAGGTGTTTATCTCCTGATAATGTTTCTCTTTTTTATTGCTGGCTGGGATGATTGGATTCCATATTACAATGTTGATAATATATTATAGTCTGAACTTGAAATTGTATGTTTATGAGTTTAGGAAGTGATGAGAAGATCTGAAGACATTCATAGGCTCAGTGATCTGTGCCCTGCTGAATATGTTATTGCACGTCAGTCTGATCCCAAACTCATTTCTGGGTTTTTCTGTCTGATAATGTATTTCTCTCTTCTCTTTTGGATTGTTAGGAGGGATAATTGAATCCAATTACCCTGCCATCCATGGGATACGAGCCCTGCATTAGCCATTCATATATCACCAGACCAAGCCATAACTTATCTTGTTATGGGTTTTAAGTGAGGATGAGTTGGTTAGTTTTGTTTCAAATTTACTGATTGACTTTACAATCAAAGGCTTATTTGATGTGCCCAATGGTGGAATTTAAATAGCTGTTTACCGACAATAGTTTGCTTTTTATAATTCAATGTATTTATACCTGGTTGCATCAGTTTACCATCTTTGCATTAGCCAATCCTGGAATAGAGTTGGCTAGACTTAATAGTGTTTGCTTGTGTGTATGATCCCCATGTTTGAATTACTAACAGCAGACTAATATTCTTACGAGATCTTATTGACTAAGAAAATTATTTCTGAAAGATATAAACTTTGAGTCATAAAGTGAACACTGAACAGAGCAGACAATTGCACACAGAGTGAACATTTTGAACTCTGCTCTCATTTTGTACAACAGCCATTTTAATATTAATAAAATTTTTGTTTTTGATAAGTCGTTGCATGCCTACTTGTTTTCTGATAAGTTGTTTCTTGCTGCATGTATTCTTGCATCCTGTTCTACCTCTGGTGTTAACAGAATCAAGCAAGTGAGACAAGGTATTACTGATATGTTATTGATAATATTGGTCATAAAATGTGGTGTTTGATTATATTTGAATTGTTGGCAGAAATTACCAATTTTACTTACTGCCGAAAATTATTGTGTTTATCAAGGTGAATAAGGTGGCATGTCTTTCATTGCCTTGCTGGTTTTCTTCGTGACAGTGGCCTTATCCTTGATTGGAGTTCACTTGCCTTAATAGTCATACCATGCCTTGTTGATCAAGTTTGGCAATTGTTTATGAGTTCAATAAGAGTTTTTACGCTACTAGCTGATCAAGTATCTTTACGTGGTTTGATGAGACAAGGGTTTGAATAGTTTAGTCACAGTTTGGAATTCAGCTGGGCTGGACCTTGTGAATTGATTCCTGACTTCCCATTGGAAGATGCTTCCAACTGCATCTAGTACACTTGCTTGAATAATGCACTAGTCATGTCTCAAGTTGGGGGATGCATTTCTTTGCCTCGAGGCGACTTTCTCATCTTCATGGGTGGTTATATGTACCAAAAGTTGTCCCCAGCAGGCATAATTAAACATCCATTTCCTGCAGAGGCTGTGCATGAGACAGAATGTTAGGGGATGGGTTTTGACGCGATCTGAAGTATCTGGGAAGAATGCTTCGGTTGGTGGAAACAGCGCACCGTAAGGATGGTCCACTATCCAAGGTGGATCCCATGGATTAAATCTAAATAATCCTTGGAAAGGTTTATGTGATTGTGGCTCCTGGCTGCTGGTTGACTGCAGGATGAAGGGTTTGATAAAGTTCTGCTAATAAGGAAAGAAATGCTGTTTTGGAAGCCTGGTAAAGAGGTCAGGCAGTTTCATAGGTGAACCACAGTGTAAACTGTTTCCAAGATATCATACTTTGCCAGAATTGGTGTTAAAATTTGTACAGTTCATGTATTGCAGCTACATTCTTCGTTTCTTTGATGGATTTCTGTATGATTTCCTAACCTTTTTGATTGGAGATCATAAGCAATGCATGTTCCTTGTACGTGGTGGTTGATATGAAATATAGGATGATTAAATTTTTTCCCTTCTAGGGTTTGATGTGTTGTCTTTCTTAATCTTGAATAATAAATAAACCAAATTTACCAACAAAAAGATCAAATCCTCTTTCTCTGTGATTGGGTTTTTTCTAGCTCTTCTCCAATCAATCCAATCCTCTAGCTTATTAAATCAAGAAATCTTGAATGCCAACAAAAGGACTTGCAATGATCATCTTTCATCATCCCCTGTCCTGGGGATTCGTGTTTCTTGAGTAAACGAGTTATTTTCTTTGATCTTATTGTTTTGACCAACATTCGTGGTACATCCTTACACTTGATACAAAATTATATCAAGGGTATATCCACAGGGAGAGAGAGAGGATTCAAATTAAATCGTTCAATTCATCACGTATCACATTTTATTTTCAAGATAAAAACTTGACTCTCGTCACCATGGCGTTTATAAGAACACTTGTGTCAATTCTAAAATTCTCACGAATGCTGAATTTCTAGGGAGGTGTACTATAAAATGCAATTAGATAAAAAAATATTATTAAAAATAAATAAAATAATGACTTCTTATGGACTGCTAAACAACTTATGTTAATATGATATATTAATATTCATAGCATGCACATCAATTACTCGTACTTGCACAGCCTTCCAAAACATGACAAATTATAACACTTAGTTTGGGCCAAATTATGATTATATATATATAGATTTTCATAGATTTACGTCTACGTGGTTTTAACTTCTAACTTCTAACTTCTTCGTAGTTGACGAATAATATGATGCCAACCTCCACTAATATATTGTAGTTCTTACCTAGAAATGGTCAGGTATGAAAATCTAGTTCCTAGATTTTTTTTGTTCAATACGAAATCTTGGGTAAGCTCACATCAACCACTATAGCATGGTTGGTTCAAAGTATTGATCGATATCTTATATGATTCGATTGAATTGTATCTATTTGGGTGTATTTGTCATTTTAAGACTAATATATATTCCACGTAAACCACTAATCTTACTCAACAAAAAGGTAACTCATAGATGTTTCGGAAAAATCACCCTAGTCATCCAAATTTTGATTATCGTATTGAAGTATATCGGATGAATGCCACTAAATATTTTGAATCTCTCACCCTGTCCAACTTACTTCTTTATCTACCATTTTGTGAGCGGAAAATGCAATTTAGATCTAAAAATTTAACATTATTTGTTGACCTAATAACGTGGCTTCATTGAAACTATTGGATAGCCATAAAGTTCCAATGTTTAATGGAGCTCACAGTCAATCTAAAAGTCATAGTAAATTAGGTCTTAATAGCATTACTCTTTGTGAGCATATTGTTTGATCAATAACGCTATGCTGACTAAATTTAGAGTCAAAATAACATGATAACATATTATTTGAAGTTTTTATTGGAATTCTAATAACATGACATTAAATAGAGAAATTCAAATTAACTGTTATGTCATTTAAACTTTAAATTTGGTCCCAAAATTTAATAACCGTAGCATTAGTGATGCTTGATATTGTTGCGTAACTCATACAAATTAAGTAACTTCATAGATAGGATGGAGTGTCATCCGCGTGAATACAACTTTTTTGGTGGAATCTACTTCTTTGTGTCCATATTAGAAAAAGTAACACAGTTGAAAAGAGAGAGCGAATTACATGGTTTTCCACGATCAGAATATTACACCAAACTGAGAACCCAAATCACATGTACATTCAAACTTTTGAAGAAAATAAAGAAAGCTATTCAACAATATACAAGTAACTATGTACAGCTAGTTGGAAATTTGTACACTTTTACATGTTTTAGAAGAAGGAAGAAAAAAAAAACTATTTACATCTTTACTTACAAATCAAATCGCTTGTGAAGTAAACGGAATGGACCCATTTTGCAACCCAGTCTATAGGCATAGCCACTGCTGAAATTGCAATACAGATGCACCATTGTTTCAGATCTAATCGTCCTGTATGCACAACCACCGCCGCCGCCTCCGTCACCACCACCTGCAGGATAAAAATGGTTCCTAAAATGACCAGAAACCAACAGCTCTCATGCTTCACAATCCCCACAAAAATATTTTTTATCTGGGTCTCTCTAGTGCTGAACAGTTCAGAGACTTGGCAAAGTAGATAACAGTTGAAAATCATGGCCTTTAAAGTGGTCTCATCGACGTGGAGAATAGCTTTTCCCATCAAGTCTAGAATCAATAGAAGAATGACTTGGTACAAAGATTGAACGGCTATGCTTCTCCTCATTGTCTTGGTAATGATTGGACCAGCACCGTATACCGGTGGCGGTTTCTCCTGTTGAGTCTGAGAAGGTGGTGGCTCCGCCGTTGATGCTGCCAAAGCCAAGGCACCAAGGATGTCCATAATTAGGTTTACCCACAGAAGCTGAAATGGAGTAAGTGGCGTTTCACTCTTGGAAACAAGAAGAATGGAATTCACAGCGAAGGCAACAATGTTCAGAGTCAGTTGCAACTGTATGAATTTCTCAAGATTGTTGCAAACACCTTTTCCCAACTTTATAATACGATAGATTGTACCAAGATCCATACCCAAGACAAGGATGTCTGCCTCTTCCTTGGCTGCTTCAGCATCACTAACAAGCCATCTAGTATACGAGTCTCTTATCACTGCAGAGTCTGGAGAAGTCTCACATGCCGAGGGACCCTCTTTGGTACGACCAAGAAAAAGCCCAACATCGGCTTCTTTCAGTGATGGGGTATCTCTGTTACAAGTTCCAGTGACCGCCACCACCTCACCTTTCTGTCTCAAGCACTTCACCATCAACAATTTATCGGACGGAGAGGTTTCTGCCATCACCCGGATGTTATCTATCATCTTCATGCGATCTTCCTCAGAACTACTTTGAAATTCAGAGGCTTTAATTACAGCTCCTTCCATGTCTTCTTCAGGCCTAAGGATTCCGGCGTGAACGGCCATGATTTTGGCTGTGTTTAAATCATCGCCAACCACTAACTTGCTCTTAACTCCAGATTCTCTACAAGCTTTCACTGCTTCTCTCACCTCAGCTGCATAAGGATTCTTCATGCTCACTAAGCCCAGAAAGGTTAAGCCATGCTCTGTAGTTTTGAGTGTTTCTTCTTGCTCTTCTTCTTCTCCAAGTTTTGGGGATTCCTCGTTCTCTTGAACAGCAATTTGTTTGTAGGCAAAAGCAAAGCAGTGGAGACCCTCTGATAAAATTTTGTCAATAATTTGGCTCAAAAGTACTATTTTCTCTTGATTTAGGGTTTGCATGGTTCCAGCAACGTCATAATAGTGTGAACACATGGATAGTACCACCTGTGGATCTCCTTTCCAGTGCACATGCATGGCTTTACCAACCTCTTCATTCCTCCCTAACAATATCCCTCTTCGATTCCTGCTGAGATCAAAAGGTTCAGAATGAAGGATAGTGCAATTTCGATTCACCTCCTCCATATTTGTGCCCAGCACTTTCTGAGCCCAGTAAAGAAGACAATCATCTTCACTTGTCAATGATATTGCGGTATCACCGTTATATTGAAGATTCGTGAAAATTCCCTCGCTCAACTTACTAAGGACTTCATGAGCTACTTCCTTAGAAACTTCATTGATGTTGTCAAGACCGATCCACAAATCCGCCATTTTCTCGTGCTGGAGAGCTAGATCAATCGTTTTGCCAGTGCAGATTGTGGTGACCAAGCCTATTGTAGCACATGCCGGAAGTTTCCCGACCATAGCTCGATATGACACCATTTTCTTTGATGCATATGCCAAATAGATAAAAGTCCCTAAAGGCAAGCCATCCCTTATTGCAAAGACCAATATGCAGAGCACAGCAACCAATCTATGAATCCTTACACCTTGCTTCTTCATAAGTTTTGTTACCCCAGTCATTATCTCCTCAGCAGTGTTCTTTATGCCTTTGGGATCCGGGTTATGATTATTTTCAGAAACTGGTTTCCATACAAAGCACCGGAGGAGTTGCACCAGAAGAATGAGCAATGACAGGCTCAACCAAATCTTTTCCAAGCGAGAGTTGGTCTTGTCAATAGCCATTTGCAACCTCGAATCCTCGCTTTGATGATTGCTTATTGATCTCATCAACTTACTCCTTTCTGTGTTATGGCCTACCGCTGTCACAAGCATCCGGCAGCTGCCTTCCACCACCTTTCCACCGGCGAACAGAGAGGGATACTTAGAATAATTAAAGCCTTCGTGTTCGTGGACCGAACCATCCTCTAGCTTAAATGAACCACCATGAACCAACAACCCATCAGCTGGGACCTGATCACCAGATTTTAGGCATAAGATATCACCGACCACAATTTCAGAAGTTGGAACCTGTTGCATCTTCCCAAGTCTCATTACCCCAACAACATTTTTGGTCCTTGACAACTTCTTGATCTTCCTTCTGGCCTTGCAATATCTACAAATGACTCCAAAGTTGATAACTAGCAATATAGCTAGAAATGTGACAGCCCCATCTAGGAATCCTTCTTCTGCGCCATTCCTCTTGATCTCAATCACAAGAGAAAGCGTGGCGCAGCACAACAGGAGGATAACGGTAGAATCTTTGAAAGCTTCCATGGCAAGTCCATAGAATTCTTTCATCATCGTCGAAGGTTGTTCATCCAAATGCAGATTCGAACCAAATGCTTGGTGTCGACGAGAAAGATCCCTTCCATCTCCAGAAATCCCAGTTGCCAAATTAGTGTCCAATGCAGCGACGAGTTCATGAATGCCACCTGATTGTTGAAGAGATTCGATTTCTTTGGTCTCAACTAATTTTGCAAGTCTGTCTTGGCAAATTTTGAACCTGGGACATTCAGCTAATTGATTTTCAATGGAGGGATTGGCCATGTGAGGGGAAACATTGGGTGGAGAAGGATGATCAAAGCTGTTTTTTTCCGAAATTTGGTTGCAAGGTTCATGATAGGCCATGGGATTGACCAAATTAGAAACAACAGCAAAGAGAAGGTTTTAGTACTTTAGTTTATTTTGTAGAGAACAAGATGGAAATGGACAGAAAAACCATGTAAGTACCAACTCAGCTCAACCGTACAAAAGTTCAAACTATATATATTTGTTCTCAAGTGGGAAAATGTATGACTCGCTCGACAGAATCTTTATGGAAGCTTAACGCGACACTCCTGGAAGTTTACTAACAGAAAGACTCCTAACTTTCTAACACCACGCATGATCGTTTGGATCTTGAGATCAGGGGCGAGGAGAGAGTAGAGCCGTGATAATCATGCAAAACTTTGGGAGCTCGGATCGAAACTGTCTAACTCTTCTTTTTAAAAGAGTTTAAAAAATTATTTAAATTCTATACGTTTAGAAAATGAGTTAAGTCTAAAAAAAAAATTAAATTTAATTATTTTACATATAAACTAATCAAGTTTTATAAACTTGAACCGAGTTTTTTAGGCTAATTTTTTAAACTTACGAGATTAAAAAATTATTTAAGATCGACTCGTTTGGAAGATAAGCTGAATTTGAATCGAATTCTATTTCAACTAAGACCAAATCAAACTAAAATAACTCGACTCAATTATCGACCATAAAAGCCAAATATCACCATGGTTTTCCTGAGTTTACTGACATAAGGCTGCTAACCACAATAATATACATCAGATATCAAATACCCCACTAAGTTTTCTCAAGTGTGCGAGTAAATATTGGGTGTAACGGAGAGATACGAACATTATTGTCATATAGTATCATTATTTAATAATAAACTTATATATATATATATATATATATATATATATATTAAGTAGAATTTACTTGTCTATTAATTTGTTATTAGATATTGACACCACATGACAATAATAATATAATATAACCGTTACGTTGAATATTTTCTCCATAGTTTTCCAACTTGAACAATCAAGGAAATAAAATAATGAGCCACTCACATATTTTTAAGAATATGCTTGGCTGAGAAGTGTATATTTAGTATTGAACAATGCTATTTATACTTAAAAATTTAATTTTATTTATTTATCTGATAATGTGATTTTATTAGAATTATTCGAAAAAAAATAAATTTTAATATTTGACGGGACCTATAATTAATCTAAAAATTATAATAAATTAAGTTAATAAATGATGACAAATTTGTAAGTACAAATAACATTCTAACATTTTAACGATGTTGATGTGAAATGACATTAAAGTTCTGGTGCTCCTATTGGACAGTTGAGTCGAGTAAAAATCAAGGAAAATCAATCTGTAGGGAGTGAATTTCCGAGTTGACCATAATGCACCGATTAACATGTTTGAAGAAAGTTCGGCTGAGGCACTAAATGACGGACCGTCTTCTTTCATGTTTGAAACCTCGGACTGCTTTTCTTAGAAACTTTTCTTGTCCAACACCTTCAAATATTATATGAGAAATATTACTTGTTTTTTTTTATGAGAAACATAATTAAAACTTTAAAAAATATTTAATTTATTAATATAATAACGTGTCAAGTAATATAACGTACTTAGGGGTTGTTTATTTTGAGTATTAAGTTTGTGTGGTATTAGAAATCATTTTCATTTCACTTCTATCCAATGGTATATTATACCCGGTTTTTAAACTATAATCTCATTCTTTCCCTTATTTGTTTGTCACAAACATTATCTGTGTAGTACTTAGTGTATAAGATACTTGTTATTGTGGGGTTTATGAAAGATTAGATGTACGTAGTCTTATTCTACAAGCAGAGAGATTATTTCCGTGACTTGAACATGTGACCTCTGATATACAATAGAACAACTTACGTGTCAAGTGATTCTATCAAATAAATCAGGGGAGGCCTAACCCAATTAGGGCCTTAAGCAAAAATGTTACGTGGAGCCCTAATAATATTATTAATAATATAGTATTAAATAGTTATCAAAATATTAAAATATGTTTATTTAAAAATTATTTGTTTTGTCTTTTTTTTTTTTGAGATACAACATACTAATTAAAATTTAAATTTTGTAAATAAAAATTGTGTTAACTATAGTCGAATTTGGAGATCAAGTGCAAATGATACATACTATTTGTTAAAGATAAAGAAAAACATAATTAAAAATTAGTTTAATTAGTAAGACAACTATGATTGATTAATTTTAAATAGTGTATTACTTCTACTCATTCTATTTTATAGTTATTCTATTAATTATAAACAAATTGATCAAAAAATAGCCTTAAATTTAAGTTATAAAAATATAAAATCATTATTCATACCTATTATACGATAGACAATTGATTTTAATAATAAGACTGCAAAGTGATAATACATATAATATAAACATCGAGTGAGATAAGAAAATTAGGTTGACCTCTAGGACCCTAATTTTTTGTGAAAGAGGTTCTAAAAATTTTACGATAATATTACTTGTATATTATTTGAAGTTTAAATATATTGGATAAATAATGTATTTTATTTAAAGTTAGCACTCCTTGTTAATTCAATTGTTAAAATGTATTGAAGATTTAAATTATATCCCAACATCTAGATTGCATATCATTGTATAAAATTTTATTTTGAGGCCCCAAATTTTTCTTCTAATTTGGGAGCCCTAGACAATGACTTTAGTGGCTTATAGGTTGGGCCGGCCCTAAAAAAATAAGTCTATCGGTTACTATCAATATTATTATTCTTTTTTATCGGTACGTTGTATGATAAAAAAAAATTGGATATATTCTACATCTCAAGGTATGCCGATGGGCTACTAGCATACAGTAATAATAACAATGCATTAGCATGTATATATTAGGATATCGTCAATCTTTATTTAAATTTAAATTTGAGTAAAAACAAACAAAAAACATTTTTCAATCCTTTACTTAAATTCAAACCAAATGAAATGAGACTTAAATTTTTATGTAAATCAAAAAACACTCAAATCTTTAATTGTCAGATATCATTCTTTTAAAAGATCTAATAGTAATATTTTATCTTCTTTTAAATTTGATGTTATCAAACTTTTTGTTTAGGTTCAATAATTAAGGGTATTTGGGTCAATTTATGCACATTTCAATTAGTCATTTTCTTGGTCCAATGAAAGATAGGTAATCTATGCCGAGACTAAGATATTTATAATAAATACAATAAACTCCTTATACTCTAATTCCAATGAATTGTCCAAAATTCAAATTTAAAATAATTTTATATATAATTCATTTCTACTGCTACTTGAGCCACCTTAGAGACTAAAACTCCCACTTCACAATCCGATTGAATAGATGAAAAAATATCTTAAAGGGATAGGACAAACACAACAACTTTAATTAGCATCATCTTCCATGAAGTTGTCCATGTTGAAAAGCCTTTCAAAGCTCTGGGGCCGGCTTGGGTACACGTTTTCCAGGAACACAGTCACCCTTTTAGTCCAAGAGACTAGCTTTTTCTACTCAACATATGGAGTTTTCACAATATCCTTTCCATGTAATTCCTTGGAAGGCTACCATATCTGCTCACATAGTCTCCCCCCCCAACCGTCCCAATTTCCTCTTTCTTGCACTGGAAGGAAGAGGAAGTTACTCCACTATAGAGGATTTCCAAACAATGACAACGCAAATGAAAACATAGGGGGAATTTCTTCAAGCAATTTTTTGTCTTGTTGCTTGCGGTTGTCATTGTCCTTGATGACTAATCGTGATGTAGTTAAATTTTAACATTTATCTTCCACATCCGTACATAAAATCATGCTCATTCAATCACATAGTAATAATACCAAAAAACCAAAAAACAATTATTTTTATTTGTTTCAAAGATAAGTAATGCTATTGACATTTAATTATGGCTTGTATTTAAATTCCACTAATTGAATTTTATGTGGAAGATTCTATGCAGGGGTGTTCACCCTACCTTATGGATGGAAATTATGATATTTTATATTTTTACCCGATACTTTAAGGAATTTTTTTTTTTGGTCTATTCTATCCGATCAAGTGTATATTCCTACCTAAATTTCATCCAAAATAATCAGGTAAAAAATCGAATGAACACAAATTTTTTATTTATTAATTTTTAAATCATTTTAACAATTTAACTTAGTAACATGCATCAATTAACTAACACAATAAACTAATAACATTAAAAATTACAATAAATTCGATAGTATATAAATAATTATAATAAAACACAATAACAAAGTTATAAATATCAATACACCATATATAAAAAAGTTATAAACATCAATAAAATACTAAAATTTCTATATTTTTGAATTTTAATTTTATATATATATAAATATTTTATTTGTCTCGTCGCTATGAAGACCTTGTGAAGGAGTAGAATTCCTTAGTCTCGAAGCTTCTTTTGATTTAAAGAACTTTGTAATCTCTAATCTTTATCAGCGAATTCTTGTCAATGTATTTCGTTCGTGGACGTAACCTTACTTGCTAAGTTAAATCACGTAAATCTTATGTGTTTTTATTTTTTTTATTTTGTTACGTTATTATTTTACCTGTGACCTTGATTTCTAACAAAATCTAAAAAATTAATTTAATTTATTAATTTAACAATGTATCAAATAATAAAATCTCAATAAACAAATATCTAAAAATTACGACCATAATAATACTATTAGACCACATTATCGTTACTTCTCCGTAAAGGAGACAACGTTTTCAAGGTCATACGTTCTTGATTGTTAGTTTAGGCCCGAAAAGCCATGTTTGACTTCTAGCAAGCCTCAATATATATAATTCAAAATTTCCACCTCCACTCGCTCGTGCTTTGAAAGGGCAAGACGCATATACTTTCAGATTCTTAAGGTCGAAGGTGCATCGTAAAAAAATATATTATTTGTCTATGTGGTCGTTTTATCAAATATAGTTTTTTCATAAAAGCTTGACTAAATGATCTTAACATTGGCCATGAGAAAGGAAGAATATGATGATAATTTCCAATTGAACTCAGGAAGTCTTCGCATGGTCAACTTTTTTTTTTTAA